CAATATATTTGTGCAGCTTACTATCAATTTATCAACATGAGTATGCTGAGGACAGGAATTGTGACCATCGTTTGTTAATGATTGGATTTAATTTAGTTCAGCATTAGAGTGTGTCGTCTAAATACCTTTTAATTTGTGCGACTTTTAAATTATGCATTCGCGTCGTAGGGCACAGTAAGCATACGCCCTTAAAAACTTCTCTTATGGGAGCCAATCTATGCGGGCTCGAATTTATTTAAAGCGGAAGTTTCTTTAAATTCATCGATTTTTCGCGCGAAAACTTTGTTTTAGTGTGTTGAACAAAGCTCAAAGCGCCCGGTTTAAAAATATGCTTGACATTGATTTAAACGAGTAAGCTTTTTCATGGCAGAATAGATATTTGTCGGCCAAATTTGTTTTCATTGCGCATTTTTTGTTGGTCTATTCTAAAGTGAGGTATTTAAACAAAATTACACACATCGATTGAGCTAGTATTTGCATTTGAAGTTCCAACGTCCCCTGACCGACTGACAATTTCGTGCCTGATGAAATTTATGCTTAAAAATGTAATGATTCCTTTGGTGTTTTAATTAACCAAAGTCTTTTAAACGGCCAGTATATTGACAAGAACACATTCAAAAAATCGCGACACAAGCTCAACGGACCAAATCTGCTGTCTCATGCGAACCTCCACCTTCGTAAATTGAAACAAATCATGACCTCGTATAAAGAGATTTTCCTGTCTAAGCCAAGTCGTGCACACGTTTATTTACGCACAAATTAACCGCCACAAATATGCAAAAATGTGGTTCGACTTGCCGTAAACTCCATGAAAGGTGCACGGTATGAATGACTAGGTGCTTTGACAATATGAAAACAAAAACATTTGCTTCAAACAAACAACATTTAAATAAACTAAAACTGGATAAAGAATTATATTTTTAAAAAATCTCGTTTTAAAAATACCGAATATATCATGAATAGCAGCATGCAGATCAGCTGGAATTTTCAAAAACCTCCAGCAAATTTTACTGCTCTTCTAAAACTTTTTTTTTGTATTCCAAAAAACAACATTTGAAAATATGTTTTTTTGTCTCAGAGTTTGGGATGAGGATGACAAGACTGAAAAACATTAATTTTCTACGACTAAATGACTTGTCGCGTGACCACAGTAAATCATTCCAAGGACGGTCAAATTGCCAGTTTCGTCAGGACCATGCAAGAGTGACTTCCAGACGATTACCAATTCATTTGTTACCCCATGTAGCCAAAATTTCTCAGTTTTACGATAATTCGAAGAATTTTTAGAGATTTAATTGTTTGCGAATGATAAAAATAGCCTAACTGCATTTTGTGTCTAATTTGCCTAAGTGCTACTCCAATACTCACAGGTAGCATCTGAAAGCGCGCATTTGCCATGGCGCGCACACTGTACACCTGACCAGATTCGACGTTTGTGCAAATTCGACAAGTAATGACATCCCTGCCTCACTATTGATCATCTGGCCTTACATCATTTTCATCACGCAAATGCCTATGAAAGCAACATTTTGCTAGACCAAACAAACATGAGTATTTCATCCTGGCGTATTACGTGAAGCCAAATTAGCCTGCGGAGAAGGAAACAGACGACAATGCGGAAGTTCGGGGATGCGGAGGAAACGGCAGGTTCCACTGAACCCTCCTCAGTCTGTGCAGTGTCTGCTTAGCCGCGTGTGGTTGAAGCATTGACTCAAGGCGGCAGATGATGCCTTCTCGATGGAACTCACCCGCACGCTCCGCTTCAACAGACCAACATCGAGGTGGTTGAGTTGCCCACAGCAGTGCAATTCGTGGTTTGTTTGCGGGCAGTAGAAAGAGAATTTGAGGTTGGTGAGTTTCGCTTGAATGCGCGTGCTCAATCCGAGTGCGTTGACTCACGACCCGAAATTACTTAACTCTCCGTTATTAGTATGTGCGTTTTAAAAGCATCACAACGCTTCCGCATGCAACGCCTGTATGCTTCTGCTACCAGAACTGACTGAATATTTAGTAGTAACAGACGCGATGTTTTTGCGCACCTTCCTGCGAAGAAGCAATGCATCTCAAGCACTACTTTGTGGACGTTCAGCGTCTGTTTACTTTCGTGATTGGTAAGGGCGATTTCACAGAATATGTAATTTGCGTGATGAATGGCAGTGCTTGCAGATTGGCTGTTCACAAATTACGCGTTCGTCTTCTGTTCATGGCATTTAGTAGATATATAATCGTGATGAGAAATAATGCTACTAAGGTCTTATCAAGTATTTAAGCAAGCAAGAAGAGATTTTAAAGAGAGACGCAGTGTACTCGCGAATGCTGTTTCAGTTGAACTCAAATTTGCTCTGTTACTCTATCTGTTCTGTGCGTTGAACAAGCGGCATTTACGGCTGTCTTTGTCAAGTGTCTGAGCTGAATTGTTTCCACAAAAGCATTTTGCAAGATTGTGTGCAGAATCATTGTCGTGGAAAAAGTCTCACCGCCCACGTAGGTGTATTTTGACGAGCAACAAGCATTTGTGACAAGGAATGCGTTTGGGTTGTGAGGACTGCGCATAGCTAATTATGGAGAAAACAATGCGTGTTATTGTCCAGCTGTTGTTAGGTTTATTAGCAAGGCGACTGTAATTATTAGACGTGGCGATGTGATTAAACCAACAATGGAGTCAAGAAGTTTGATGACGCTGTGAATGAGGAGACTTTTTTTAACCAACTGAGCTCATCACATGGCTTGGACAAAGTTTGCGTTGCAGGCGAGCAATGAGAAGAGTCGGTTTCTTTTGTTCTGCCGAAATGCTCGTAACCTTTATGCCTAATTCTGGAATGTTTGCTGGAATGTCAACATGAGGTGCCTCGGCAATGCCTTTGGTGGTAGCGAGTGAATTTGACTTCACGCTAGCACAGAAAATCCCGTCGTCAGTCAGTATATGCCCAGAGAAGGAATTCGATTCACTAAAACGTCTTGACGCTGATTTGAGAAAACGGGTCAAAGTGCAACTCGTTGTATTTTCATCAGGCAAACGTTGCCCTGCACAAAAACTAGGCAGAGCAAGGTCATGGTAGATCGCGCTGACCCACGACGCCAAGTAGGCGAGTGTTTCAGGTGATGGCGTGTGTTCAGGTGAAGCATAAACATGGCTACATCTGTTGCTTCTGGCGCCAACGAGAATGCGGCGCGATTGCTTGGAGTCACATGCTGGTTGAACTTGAACACATGCGTCACATCTCATTTGCAATTGAATGCGTTGAAACGACGACGATGAATGCACAAATCATGAAAAAAGCGTTCTGGCGTATTTGGGTGAATGTGTTTTAAACAAAATCTGGAAAACTCGCGTGAGGAATGCTGCATTTCCCCAACGATTCGGCAGAGCAATTGCAAACAAACACATGTACTTTCTTGGGAGTCGGTTAATTAGACGGTGCTTAGTGATTTAAAAGGAATTAACGCTTGAAGTTAAGTAATATGGTGGGCAGACATTTCAATTCTTAGCTTAGTTATGCGAGGAAGGAGTTGCGTTAAATAAGGAGATTTCACTCTTTCCGCCTTGGACATGACAAGAATTTTCACAATCATTTTGGTAGCTAACTTCACAATTTACTCAGCAGCACTACTAAGCTTCCGATGCTGTCTTCAAGTGGTGATATAAAATGTGTAAAGTTTAAAATTGTCAAGTAATGCTTTCACCCTAGATCACGGGAGGTGGTATTTCGCAAGACTTACGAATAAAATGACTATCGTTCGTAAACAGATAGTATTTCTATCCACAAAGCGATTTTTTTATAAATTTTTGGAACAATGTGAGGATCTGACGTAGGACCAGGAAAAAATTGATACCGAAATGGAAAAAAAGCCTTTACAATATATGTCCTCTAGTGATCAATAAAAGCATATTTATATTGGGTAAGCGGACGTGTGATCAACAGGTTCATGAGTAAATAACCGGATTTTGGAAATTTTGTGAGAACGTGTGCCTGAATTTAATCTCACCTCTTTGATAGAATGACTGGATTTATCACAATCATTTCGATAGCCAATTTCACAATTTCCTCAACGGCACTACTAGGCTTTCGATGCTGTCTTCAATTGGCGTCAAGTTATACTTGCAATTTAGATCACGGGAGGTGGTGTTTAGCAAGACTTACGAGTAAAATGACTAGGGTTGGTAAACAGATATTCCTTTTGTTTATAAAACGATTTATGATACATTTTAGAACAATGTGTAAATGTGAATTAGGACCAGGAAAATAACTGACATTGAAGAGGAATTAAACGGTTACAATAAATGTTCTTTACCTATTTATAAATGTATATTTGGATGAGGTGAGTGGACGTGGGATTAGGAGGATCAACAGATTCGTTAAAATCCAACCGGATATTATGGTAAATTGTGAAAATATGTACCTGACTTTATTCTTAACCCCTTGGTTGAAAAGAACTGTTAGTCGAACAAGTTAGTGTGTCTCAGGGCTTGTGTTTAAATGGAATAATCGTAAACATGACACCACGTGTTAGCAATCTTGGTAAATTAATGCAGATTTATTACTCTTTAGTGTTTTTGCCACTGATTTAATTAGCCGAAATTAATCAGGCTATTTGCAGTTGATTTTAGCAAATCTATTCATCACTGACGAGGAAAATAATTTCGATGGGAGAGAAGTTTGTAGTGTAAAAAACCGCAAAGAACGGTTTCCTGTCCTAATAGTGTGCCAAAAAGTGGAATTTAGTGGGAATAACACTGCTCGTTTCACCCCTCAAAATGTCGAGTTTGACGCTGTAGAATGGCTACAGTAAACCATCTATTACACTGGCCATTATTTAACCTCATAACGTTAGTCGACGGGAAAAATATGTCACTATTTTCAGTGCGCTCTGCTTCATTACTTCGTAACTAGTAGCAACGACAAACTAAAACAAAACGACGTAAAAGTCTGGTATGTTGGTGGTCGAGAAATTAACTTCTGATTAAATATAGGATTTTAGTCTTATTCTTTTTTTTCGAAATGAGCCGATTAAGTGACTGCAGGGATAGAAACTTTAGTTTTGTACTCAGTGATATCAACGTTAACGAATAACGGCTCACCTCTAAAGGTCATTCGACAACCAATCAAATAATGTCGAAAAAATTGATAATGGTGTGTTCTAAAGCAATGGAATTGTTTCAAAACGAGGTGATTTACAATATTCTATCGTCCGTTGTCTAATCACAATTTTTTTAAGAACTCTCAATATCCCCCCTCAGTTCCGAAATCGACCACGTCTATATTTTTTCAAGGATGAAGGAAATTCATTTTAAAAAATACTTTCTGTTTTTATGTTGGACGCATGAAAATCCCCACTAATTTTCATAAAGTGATTCGTGAAAACTGAAATCGAACTAAACGAATAGTTTTACAGTTTTTTGCGACTTGGTGCCCTTTAAATGCTTCTTCCAGGAAAAGTTCATTTGTATACTACTTCCTAGTTAAAATAGTAGCAAGTGTCTGGATCTGTCGGCCCAAACACCTGACAATTCTACAAATGAGTTAGCTATAGGTGCATGCTTAACTACTCGCCTTGGTGACGCCTAAAATCTGTTTCTTGGAGTCTGCAGAAATTTACTAATACAATTTGTGGACTGCCCCATTAGCACTGAGTCAAATTTGAGCCAGTCACGTGATTAGGTCGTTCCCGCCTACGAGGCCAATGGCCTAGCAGGGACGTTTCGCAAAAATTCACACGGACCTTGGCAACGAACAGCGAATACGCTCGTGGCGAACGATCTGATTGGTCGGCCAAGGTAACTTGTAATTTCGTTGCAGGTCAATCACTACGCGCGTCAGTTTGTTCTCGCCGGCCTGCTTGTGTGGCTCGCGCGATCGATGCGCCCTCTCGTGCCTCTTACGTCGCTAGCCTGGCAGCTACGGCTACGGCGGTGACGGCACATTCCACGAAGTGCGCACGTGCGTCTCGAAGCGCATGAATAACACCAATCGATAGGAATACGCTTGGGGAATTCATCTCGCGCTTGTAAACACGTGCGCCGGAACGCATTCGAACGTCAATGATTGGTGTTTTTTGTTGCTAGGATAACATTCCGCCAGACTAGCGCAACCAGGGCTAAACCGTCAGACGCCACAATATTTGTAGCTACACTTGTATAAGTAGTATAGCATCCATCAGCACAGCAGCAAACAAAAAAATTTGAGCCTTCTATTTATCTATTTCTCAAATCCATTACTAACATCACACCACTGTTTCTACCAGACTTTTTGATTCGGTGATCAACATGACAGCCAAAGTCCCGTAATTTTTATTTATTGACCTCATTAGTAGTACGATTTAAAGTTAGCCCAAAAGAAACTAGTCGACATGGAAGGACTAGTGCAAATAGAATTCTAGATATGTAGTGATTTTGCAAGAGCTAGCCCACAAGCTCGGCCATACGTACACGGCTATACGGAGGCAGATTATGATAAAGCAAGACCTTCCCACGCACGAACACACACCCCACGCTCGCCCACTTCCCCCAGTTTCAACGCCTATGCCTGCGCGCAAGTCTACTGGCTGGCCAGAATTGCCCTCCTCTCGCCGTTCGAAAGCAATTGGCGTTCAGAGCGCATCCCTGGTGCTTGCAGCGTTTCCCTACCCTTCAGCCAGTGTGCGGACGTGTGCGAGTGCGTGGGTGATTTCTGTTGGCGGCAGGCCATTCCTCCGGCAGCTTCTTTCCTAAATACCCCGCGTCCATACTGATAGAACGAGAGAGGAACATCCACGTCCCATCAACTTCTCCATCAACATCCACTTCGCTGGTTGATTTTTATTAGCTGGTAAGCTCAGTGCGGTTGTACACGTTCAAACATTTGCCCAAATACTCTGGCAGTGATTGGTCACGTGTATAAATTTGCATGGTTTCTTTGTTTGAAGGTCATCGATCTGTTAAGACCGGTCGATAGTTTTGCGTGCATTCACAAATAAGATTTTGTATATTGCACTAGCGGGGCAGTTTAACTGTCGAAGGAGATTTTGAAAATTATTGTAACTTATTTAATCTAATATCTTGTTAGATTTTAGTGCTCTTACCAGCAAAAGAATTTCTGCTTCGATTTGAAATAGGAAACGGTTGGACAAGATGCACGTCGAGGTTTCTATTGCCGTCAATTACTTGCTGTCTCATCTTTACACAAAATTGCCCCGACGTCGAGTGGATAATTTTGGAGAGGAACTAGAACGGTGCCTCCTTAGGAAACTGCAAACTCATTGGTTCACTGATAATGCCAGTCAGGAAGGTTCACACAGATACTTTCAAACTAGTGGCCCCCAAGCTGATTTCATATTTGCGGAGGCCGCAATTTCAAGTGGTCTTGACTGGAGCGAAATTCAGGCATGCCTTCCAGCAGGTCTAGTCATCTCCATTGATCCTGGACACGTCGCCTGTCAATATGGATCTAATGAGTGCTCGACAGCGATTTCGAATTCCGCCTGGGGAGGCAGTGGCTTCAATTCTGCCAGCCTGTCGTCTTCTGGGTGTTCTTCGGCTTCGTCCGTCTCCTCGAATGGATCTTCCGGCTCGTGGTCGAAGACCAAGCATCAGGTTCTTTATTCTGTCAATCCCAGAAGTGTTCATCCACATCAGTTGGCTGGTGAGAAGGATGCAGACGCACCTCCGACCGAGGTGAAAAAGCACTTGGATGATGCTCAAAAACATTTGGCCACCGAAGCTGCTCTCAGCGTCTTGACGGAGCCCGAGGAGCTTCAGTCCACTCAGAACGGTGAATTCCCCCACGTACCAGATCATCCAGCTTCCCGAAACAACAACGAGTCCATCTCTGGCGTAGGCGACTCACATGACCTTCTAGACAAGACAGCCAGCCAGGTCAGCAGTGTCAAGAACTCCAGTCTTAGTTCAACAGATCCCACTGGTGATGGCAGCTACTTCGAGCACATGAGCAACGACTCTCAAGCCAAATCGGACATCGAAAACCAATACCCCTTTAGCGGATTCCACCCCAAAGGTCTTCGGCATGTGGATGGGACAGGAGAGCAGGATCTGCAACAATTTGATCTCCATGGCAACCAGATCCACCAATCGCAGCATACACAGCCGCCCTTTAACCAGCCAAACCCCAATTTCATCCAGAGGTCCACCTCAACGCCAAGTTTCACAGCGGCGACCTTTGCTGCCACCAAGTTTGGATCAACGAAGCTCAAGAGTCAGGCCAAGAGACCGCATCGCCTTGTATCGCCGTGTGATGCTCCAGTATCTGGTTACCCCTCACAACTGCTTGAGGCTATTGGTCAGTCTTCGATTCCATCCAATCAGGTGAGTTGGTTTTGAGGGCCCTTCTGCATTATATTTACCTTCTTTCATACGCACTGGCTGAATTCCACTCACCAATCTGACCAGATTGTAGCTAGGTAGATGAAAACGAGTCGATTTTTCTTACAAAGTCCAATGATTGTTTGATCGCGTGAGTTGACGTTAATAAACCCATTGAGGTACACTTGTCTAATTTGAATTACGCTGTTTGGATGTCTAATTTAGTTCCACGCAACCTCGTTTATTTGTCCGCAGTATTACAGATGAACCCATTCACCAAAACTAAATTCCTTGAATTCCTCACGATCTACCACCTAGCAGAGTTTAATCCACACCCTGTAAGATGGGATTCAGCTCAGAGAGAACTTGTTTTAGTGATTACTTTAAAAGCGCGCGTTTTTCAGATGTAATTCTCTCACTTGACTGACACACTAGTTTTAAATGTTCTTTGATTTGTGGTTCAACATCAACCAAAATGTGAAACTAACTTGGTACTGAATATGTTAAATCCCCTAGACCGTGTCATGCACAAGTGTGCTGCCACAGTCCAACGTAATTAGCTCTTGGATCTTTGATTGGTTATTGAAGTGCGTATGTCCACTATGTTTCAGATGCCAATGTGTGACCGTTTAGTGCGTCTGAACGAAATGCATCGTAATCCCATCTATGGTGGGCATGGATTCGGAGCAACCGGCCTGGAATCAAATCGAGCCAATTTCTTTGGAAACTACACCCCGACTCTGTCTGCGGTCCAGCAGCTTGATCGTCCGTGCGACGCCTCCTACGGTAGCGGTTACCCGTGTGGCTTCCTCGACAACTCCTCAAGCACGGGCCTCTATGGAACCTCTGACAACACCGGTCTTACTGCCAGCGGCTATGTTGTGCGTTCGAGCAATCCGGCTAACAATCCAGTGTGGTCGCAGTTTGAGAAGATCCGTAATGAATTCCAGTTGAAGAATAGTCAGTACATTCAGCAGCAACAACAGCAGCAGCAACAACAACAGGAAACAGCAGGTTTGCTCAACAGATCCCCTGGATATCCTTTCACGGACACAACAAGAAACGCTGCATACAACGCAGTTACCAGAAGCGCACTTCAACAGGACTATTTGGCTTCGATTAATCCGAAGTCCTTAGTTGATGGAAAGTATGGAATTGGCGAGAACTTGGCTCTTAATCAGGACATACATGACCTGTTGGCGTCTCAGAAATTCGTCCCAAACAGCGGGAGCAGCTTTTGCTGGTCCCAGGATTTGAATAAATCGCCAATAGATGCGTCTCTGGGTCAGGCATTTAATGCTCTCAACATTTCCGAGCGTTAGATACAAAGCTTGCACAGGGACCCAACATTCCGAGGTCTGTATTGCGGACAATAGACACCATTACTACTCCTTCCACAGGCCGTGTGCCATTGGTCGTCGTCGTTTGATTTCTTATTCCTCCTTCCTGGTTTGTGTGCGTATCACCACCTTCAAAACGACTCTCCTCCATCACTATCTCTCTGTTGAATTCACCAAGTCGTCAAGGCAGAGTCAGTCAATGTCGCTCGTTGTTGGTTCATTTCAGTTCCATTCGTCTCCAGCCACCTGTCACCCCAAACATGCGTCTTTCTGTCCATTTCATCGGTCCCAGATTGCGGGTAGACATTTGTCTTTCCAAAGAAGCTGCTGTGCCTACCGCGGCTGCCATTTCATGTGATGTTTTATGCCTAACTGGCGAAGAACACCTCTTCTTTTTACTGGGCCACTCAACTCCTTTCTCTTCTCACCACCAACACATCCACACACACACATACTAACCCTCGAGCCGTTGCTTAGTCTTTCTTATTTTTTTATCCTGCACCGTCTGTTAATTTTTACTGAAATATCTATATATATACTTTTTTTCGTCTGTCTATCTCGGTCAAGCGATTCGCAGCTAAGGCGAGTTGAGACAAATTGGACTGGAAAAAAGCATGTGCAACCATTAACTTCTGTTACACGATCTCACCCACATGCACACACACACACACACACTTGCACAACCGCCTTTTCCTTCGATAAGCACCAGGGCGCACAACAAGACGATACGGTTACAAGGTGAGCTCTATCCTCACTCCACATGTCAGGTGTCATGCTTTCACTCACCCCTCGACCTTCCTATCCTTTCTGCCACACCCTATACACACACACACACACTATCTCTCGGACGCGCCCACATATCTCCGTAAACGACATCAGCTTACTTTCCTAACGTATGACAAAGGGCTTTCCGCCCAGTCAAGCCATTAAAAAACTTCGGAATCTACTTGTATCTAATTGTCTGTGAGTGGGTTTTCCACTTGTGTTCATTCAGCTGTAAATCTATATCTATCTATCTATCTCTCTCTCTCTCGCGCGCTCTTTTCATTGTCCTCGTTTGTGTAATTCCTCCTTTTGGATTTCGTCTTCTTGATTTCCATTGTCTTTGGGAGATTTGAGTTTTGCGCGCCCACACGCGCACAGTTTGTCGTGAAAGCCACATTTTGCAGCTATTTCTATAGCTTTTCCGTATCGGCAGACTTAATTTTTACTTGAGCTTGAGTACTTTTTCATGTTTATAATTAACGTATCGCATCTGAAATGAATAAACTAAACCATAATATAGTCCTATTAACGAAATTCGTCTTTTTTTTGTGTCTTCCAAGGGGATGTGGTGTGGTTTTGAATTCGGGGGGAACGTCTTTTGTACTTCGTTAGCCGGAAAGTAGGTCAAGAGTCGTCGAGGTGATGAAACTGTTTCCTAATTTAATGCTCGCCACCAAAATATTGATTTTTGGCAGCGTACTGCCCTTCGAAATGTCGACAATAGTGACCTTGACTTGTTAAGTCCAGGAATTCCTAAGACATCCAATTTAAGGGTTGCATTTTTAAACATTTTGTGTATAGACATAACTGCAAGAAGCACAATGGTAGCTTAAGATGTTCTAATTACCAGATGTTTCTTCGGTTGAACTGGAAGTCGAGTCCTGTGTGTTTTCGAGGTCAATAATACCTGGAACACCGCCTTCCTCAAGCATCTCACTGAATTCCCCCGACTTGCCGTCAACAATGTCCACATTTTCTGCACTGCGACAAACTCTGCTTGAAGAAGCACCGTCTTCTTTTTCGTCTTGGTATTCTTCTGCATCAGTCATCCATAACTTCCTTCTTTTCACCTTATTGCTCTCCACTGAGCGACATCGTCGAAGATGGGTCCTCCTTGATCTAGCTAGCTTCAAACCAATAACCGTCTTAGGTCGCTTCGAGGTGTGAGGCATGACAGGGGTGAATTAGCGGTTTTTTTGATAAACGGGAGTGCCGTATTCCTGAAGAAGCCCTTTCAGATGATGAGAATGGTGATAGTTGTTTTAATCGCAGTCGCACAACATGATTCGAGGCAACGTGCTGAGTCACTACAAGCATTCCTTGCAACCAGATGTACGCAGCTAATAATATGGGGCAGTTCATAGAGATGCGTGCGGAAAATTTTCCTTGGTCCAATTACAGCCAGGCTGAAGTGAACCTACACGAGCACAGGTTGTCTTGGCATTGGTTTGCTGTGCAAACCTCAGTGCCGTGTCAAATATTGTAAACTTATTTAATTTAGCTACTGTTAATGTCAAGAAATTCTGTTATCGCATATGCCAGAAATTCTCCTCAAGTGTTAGACGTCATTTGATTCAGTTTAGCCATGTTCGTTTGCCGTCTACAGCATATTGAATAACCAGGTTTTGTCCTAACTCTGGAAAAAAATCTGGCTGAATTTATCCAGTAAGATCCAGTTCGTAGGTCAACTGACCAGCCGATTTGACTCTGCATCTTTCGAAATATAGGTTTCACAACTGGAGTTAATTCAAGATCGATTAAGCCGAAACTAAGGCGCTAGATTCTCAACACTTGCCTCAAAACGTTAGCAGAGCGGGGACTTGAAGCGTCCAATTATCTTGCTGGAAAATCTGACCTTGGAACCAAAATTAGCTTTGGCAGGGATAAGACCACTCTACTCGGCTATAGCAGTTAAAATAAAATTCGATCAAGTTCTTGGACTGTTTTATTACTTTTAGAATTAAAATTCGCTAGAAGGGGTTAAATTTGTGTATAGACATGAGCTATCCTTGATGAAAAATCGATATTTCTGGCAATTTCCTCAATTAGGGTGCACATCACAGGTCCAAATAAGGTCACTCTCTGAGGTCATTTGGACACGACTAGCACCCTCACACAAAATGTTTGCCGAGAGAATTCCTCACTTATTAGAAAATAAATAATCATATGCTCACTTATCTGATTAGAAATTGGTTTTAGTGCAGTGGCTGCGCATAAGTTGATTTTGTCAATAACTTCTGCGCTTAAATTGAACCTATTCTAGTCTAATATGAGCGCCAATAAGCTCGTGACTAAATTCTACTAAATTTTCTGATTTTGGCTGCTTTCGTTTTCAAATATTACTGGTTTTGCAGTCGTAAGCGTTTACGCGTAGATGCTTCTGCGATATTCACTCATAATCTCACAGAAAGATGCTCCTTTTTTGATTCCGTGAGAAGCACCGTATGTGAACTCCTGGTGTTTCACATGAAAGTGCGTGCGACATTGCATCAGAGGAAACATGGGGATATCTAGCTTACATCTGAATGTAATAAGTTACCATGGCAACGGACTACAGTTGACTAAAATTACTTATTTCCTATGTAGTTACTTTAATTCCTAGAATAGGTAAAAATTGCTAGCGTGTAATTCGTCGTGAAATCGAGAACAGTCTACATTACCCAGATGTTTATTTTTCAAGGTAATAAGAGTGACAAGCGTCTTTTAGACTTTTGTCTTTAGCAAAATTACAAATAGACATCCACAAAACTGACAGGTTTGGTGCATTTTTGAATGTGGTTTGCAGAATCTGCACCTCTTTGACAGCCATTCGCTGTCAACAAATAAGTTTGCTTTCCGCGTCTTTGACGGAAGGAGCGCATGGACAAGCACTGTCCACACCACACAAACACCAAACTTTTCAACCAATCACAAATGTTGGCATAATTTTGGCAGTAAGGCCTGATGGCCCACTTCTCTGGCATGTCTATTCATGTTGAAAGTTGGCGAAAAAAGATTCTTTTAGAACTTCTAGTTGATGGCCATATTACGGTAAAAATATTGTGTTCGAATGTTATTAACGTCAGGGTCAATCGGATGCCATGATAACATAGAAACACAGCTAATCTGAATTAGACACATAAAGCCATCTTAAACGGCATAGCCTTTTACCACGCAAAATTTCATTTCCATAAATTTAAGTAGGAATTTGAGAGAAATTGCCGACTAAAGACTTTAGAGCAGATTTTAACAACAGAATACCTTTTGGGGTGCTCAATTTGAAGACGCTGCGTCATTTGCAATCTAACCAAATCGGTTTGTTTTCAAATTGTTGACTGTACACATCATCCGCTTTGAAATATTCATGAAAATTTATGATTGTAACAAAATTGCACGCCAGTTGGCTAAATAGCGGATATTGGATGCGGGGTGAATGGTGGGGAGTGGTATCTTCTTACGTCGATTTCTCAAGTGTCATAAGGAATTGCTCAAATTTGAAAAATGGCGAAAGAGGAATTAGCAAGTTGGTTAAAAGGGAAAAAACAAAACTAGCGCTTTATCAGGTTACGTCCTTTGCCGTGATAGATTAACGTTAATTTTAACTGCAAAAACGTGTGCTGATTGAAAATTAAACGAATAAACTATTCTAAATTCAAATAATCGCTACAGAGGAAACAGTAATTAACCAGAAGTTCAGGTTGTGGATCAAGCAAGATTTTATGCAAATACAATAATTACATTGTTTGAAATAAATCGAGAATCTTGTTCTACTGTTAGCACGTTTCAGGTGGCCAAAATGGTGGAACCGAAATTTGTAAGTTTTTATTAGTCAACAACTAATTTCACAACTTGTAAACTTCATGAGCGCACATGTCTCACTAACCCATCAATACAGATGAGTTCTTAAAAATGTCATAAGTGTGGTGTTTTATTTGTGAATGAAATCTTTTGCTCGATAGTTGTCAGCCACAAATTCAAAGTGAAAAAGTCATTGCAAATAGTCACTTCCAATAATTATTTGGCTTTAAAAGTAAAAGGTTTATTACTTTCATAACTAAGCCGATTGGATTATGTCCAGTTGATATGTTTTTTTTTATAAAAAAAATATAATGTAGCAACGAATAAATAAAGTTGAAATAGATTTGTTTTCCTATTTTCTAAAACCTTTAATCCTGATTACCGCAAAAAAATATTTAAAAAAACTGAGCGATTTGTCTTGATACAACTTATTCCGATATATTTATTTGAAGTGACATGGCAACAAGTAAAAAAACAATTCTATTCATATTTTTGTTATAAATGTACCATTTTTTGAAATTAAGGTGCATTATTGTGCTTTTAATTAAATATCGACAAGTAAATTAGATTTTACTTGAAATTCTATTACATCAGCTCTTAATTATCCTTGTGAACTAGATTCCTTCCAGAACTTATCCAAATGGAATCAGTCTTCTGTTCATTATTTTTTAAGAAAAAAAGGCACTACACTGCATGTGAAAACTACATTTTTAAATCACTATGTAACACGTTAATTCAGTTGGTAAAAAATAATTAGGCTTATTACCCAACGCAAAATCTCCTTTTTAAATTCCAGTTACTAATTTGGACCTTGTGCTTTAATTAAAAGGACTGGAGTTTCAAATTTGAAAATCAGATTGGCATACAGTAAATCACAGTGAAATCGTACTTTCAAATCTATATAATGAGACATTATTTATAAAGACGCAAGCAACTGCATTTGGCCAATTTGGCAACTGTTTTGAGAGTTCCAGATTCTTTCCTTTTCGAGTTAATTCACAAATTCAAAACTATAATCACAATTAAAGATTATCTATTCGTAACAAACTAGTCAAAAGATAACTATAGAAACTTCCAGTACATGCAATTAAGTTACGAATCAGAACCATTATTATTCCATCTTAACTTACTTAAATAACTTCTAAGTTACCTTCTGCAAAAAAGCCCTCCCTCCAGCTGCGACATGATAGGGATAATTCTATTCAAAAAAAATCTTAGTACTAATCCTAAACTCTTAATGTAACCAGAGGCCAATGCATTATCCGTGCAGATTACCTTTATTTGATGTAGATAATTTTTAGTTGTGCATTATTAAACTATTGAAAATATTCAAGTTGAACATTTACTATCGATATCTTAAGGTGAAATGAACTAATCATAAACCATTTTGCCAACCTTGCAGAAAAACGATGTGTTCATAGTTTGCAATACATGTATAAATGTTGAGTGAATAAAGTTAACTTTTAAAACCATCGCAGGTAAATCAAAGCTGTAAATATTCCCCAAAATAATCGTTCAAAAATGTTGGCGATATTACAAATTAGGTAGCATAAAATATAAGTAGAACAGCTAATGCAAAAGTGTAGCTTTGTTTGTTATCTGGTCTAAAATTCTGCCATAAATTGTCTTTGTTTAAGCATACCAAAGTTTTAAATATGTGCCTTGTCATCAAGCGTAACCAACCAGCTAGCTGGCATATCAGCTGGTTCAAGGACGTTTAAAATTTCGCAATATTTCTCAAATTGCTTCAATTTCAGAGTAGATATAATAAATTTTGGTGAGTAAATCTAATTACATTTCACTTTTTATTTATAGTAAGAAACTTCACCCTTTTCCTGAAAGTCTAACATGTTTTCTCATAAACGTTGTCTGATTAGTTCTTCGCCAACTTGTCGTTCTTAATATGCTGTGTTTAGCTCCGTTTCCTTCTGTTATAAGTAGCACAGAGCCGTGTAATACAATATTTTGATATTTTGCTCTTATTTTAAGTGTTTGGCGACTGATGTCTTTTTTTGTTGCTCTCGTGTGAAATCTTTTATGTTCGAATTGGGTTTGCATCACCAGGAGTAGATAAATCTAGGAATCACTTGCTGATATGAAGAGCTACTAGCAATTTTCAAACCGCTTGGTGAGAAAATGGCTTTGGTTTAGCTGTGACCATTTGACTCCACCCCCCAAAATTTTGAAATCAACCACGTCAAGCATCATCATGCCTTTTCGTTTTGGATGCGTATATGACCTTAAGATGTTATCATTATATGGTCATTCTCTCATGTACATAGTCTGTTTATTCACACAGTCAGCACAGTTGATGTGGCTTGGAGTTGTTAATCCGAAGAGCGCCTATCAAAATCGGCCGCTTTGTCTCGTCTACAGCACTTTCTTCTCGTTCCATGACTAGGTTAAATGTGACACCGTTTGCTGTTATAAACACTCTTTCTTGGCTTATATATAGTTAACTTGAAAATCCAACACGTCTATTATAATTACTCTTATTTGTTGCAACGCTCAGTCGTGTTTAATATTTCGAACTTGTTTCAAGTTCCTGCTTAAGGCCTGAAGATGTTCTTTTTCAGTCGTTATCTGCTAAGGGCCTTAAATTGCCGAAACAAACGAGTTACTCCTCCCTGCTACATTTAATTTTAGACTCCGCCCTTATTTTATTATGGAACCTTGGCAACTTGTGCACAGTGATGGCGAGGTCGATGATATTGATGATGATTCAAGTATTTGTAAGTTGACGTTTTTTTTAAATTTCTGCACATCATTCAACGCACGTTGCAATTCATCTAGGTCACATAATCCTCTAAAATAGTTTCATCTTCATATGCGTATGTTAATATGCATGGAAGAAATCTGCTTTTAAATTTTGAGTTTGATGGATGCCATGTATGTTGCTCTCCAATAGTCAACCTCTATTCAATGCTGTGTGCGTTTGTGGGGTGTAGGAATCTAAACAATGGAATTAGTTCAGCGCTATGTTGCCAATTATCCGGCCAGTGTCTGAAAATTAGGCCGGATGTGAGCCTATAGTCTATTAGTACGTTAAGTTCTAATTACCATTTGGGCATAATCTTTTTTCGTAAAAAACAAACATACACCACATTTTGCGAATGTTTTCAGGCGGGTTTCCTGTTATGCAGATTTCCTCTCAACGTGCTACCGATTTAGAAAGTTCGTGCATACTTGTTTTGCTATTCACGTGTATACATGCTATTAGCCGAATGTGTCCCGTTAAGGTCACGCATATTTGACCCAAAAAAATGTCTAAATACCTGAATGATTTTTGTCGCTTTGACGAAATGTTTACTTTTTACTTTCATAGTAAATCTTGAGGAGGTGTTAGACGTTCTAATGGCGTCTATTGATGTTTTGATGTTATTTTTCTGGGTAATTCGGTTTAATGAAAGACCACTGGCGTCATTACTCGCTTGATCTGCTTTTCTAGCCTCTGATTGGTCCATCATGAATATGAAAGACGATGTGGAGTTCGATGAAGCGCTAGAGGACAAGCGCTCGCTGTCTCGCCTTTCAACACCTTCTACACCTCGCCAGGAGCCTAGGCAGCCGGATCCAGCTTCTCGTCAGCAGAGGTCACGAAGGCACCGTAGACACCTCCAGCAGCGCGCTCCTGTGCCTGCCCGTCCCGTCTCGACGGTCACCATCTTGCGACCTCCGCCGCCCCTCACCACGCCGGCGGAGCTCTCAGCGCGTGTAGCACTGCTTGCTTTGGCGTCCGCACAGCGCCACCCCCACACCAGCGATCGGCCGCCGAGCCTCAAGTACGCCAACAACCGGCCCTGCGCCGATCGCAAGCACACCAAGTGTATTTTCAACGGCGCCATGGTCGGCCTGCCCCACCAGCGCCCCCAGGTCTTCCGTGGTTCTGGTGGCCAGGTGTCGAGAGGCAACAAGCTGCGCGCCTAACCTCACATCCCACGGCGCCTTCGACCTTAGTCAATGTGGATCGCCAGTGGAGTAAAAAGGCCAAAAACTTAGCGAATCCTTCGTTGTTTAGGCGCATTATCCCCACGCACTATTGTGGTCTGTCGCACACTCTTCCTCTACTCACCTTTCGATGCTAGTGACACTAGTAGTTCGGTTCTTTCTCGTCTGTCCTCCCAGCCCACCATCACTGGTCTGTGTATGTGTGTGTGTGTGTGTGTTTATCAATCAACTTCTTCTAGCAATACTACTTAAATATACCACTTTTTGAAAACCTTTTCTCACAAAGAAGGGATGCTTTGCCAATCACGTGCCCTTGTGTTATGCATTCGCTCGGGTGTCTTCTTATTTGTTCCGTTTGAATTCAAATGCAGGCATCAGCTCGAAGTTTACGTGCTATTGTGTCTTTTTGGAGCAAACAACTTTGTGTTTTCGAACTGTTTACGTGTGTTTTGTTTACCCTGCGGGAAAATAACACCTCTTTAACTTGCGCGTTACTTGGTTATACGTATCTTCAGACCACATATAAGTCGCTCCCCTTGCGATAACCACAACTGATTCGCTGGAAGCCAGTAAATATGGAAGAAGTGAGGCGTTTTTTTACTGCATTGCAGTTGATTCCTCACATTTATATCATTCTGGAATTGTGCAAGCAGGCGACGTAGGTGTGTGCACGCTACACTAATTGGATCCTGCAGTTTAGTTAAATCCTACGAATATTTTGACATATCTGACCTTGTTTTCAAAATTAGCTGTTAGCGGCTAAATCGGGTTCTAAGTAGAAGTGCTGGATTTGGGTGTAATTCAGCCACCAAAAAAAACATCATGAATCCATTTTGGTCACGCTAATTGGACCGCTATAGCACCTGTCAATATCATCTTCCTGTTCCCGCATCCCTCAGCGCGGATTTTTGTGCAACATTTAAAGCCCCAAAACTAGGATTCTTACCTTTGAGGTTATGGGAGGTCTATTCGAAAGCTTGGGTGGGTGGTATTTGCTTATATTGCGTGCTGCCAATTGAAATCTCGCTTTATTCAACCAATATGGTGGCTTCTTTTGCCATCCTTAAATGTTTGCTTGCTCACCTGTGAGACGAAGATGAACTGTCAGAATGAATTTGAAATGATAATGTTGAAGTCCATAACGATAGCCCAAGCACACTAGTTTAATTTTAAAAATACCGGCACACATTACTTCACAAGACCAATAGGCCAACATAGTCCACCAATCAGGTTTGACTACGTGATATCGTTCTCTGCACGCTAATGGCCGATTCTGCTTAACCCACTTCGCGGAAATTTGAACTTCGCGGGCGGCATCGGGAAGTAAACACCGCGAATTCAAGGAATTATTGTGTCTGTTGGCGTCACGCGTAACCAAGGGTGATTGTGGGACGCCAGAGTATGTGTGTTTTTCTGGTGTCCCCGACAGCTCAATACTCGATTACTTATTCCGCAACACTCGAACTGATTATTTTATTTCAACTAATCACCTATGATTTTTGCAATTAGGGTTAAGTGTAAATCATTTATCATTTCAAAATTAAGTAATTTGATGGCGTTTATTTGCTAATTCAATAAAAGCATGACTGTGCAGTTTAATGAAAGAAGTAGAGAGTGTGTGCACGAATGGTAACTGACAGCTCGTCTTTTTTCACAGGGTGTTAAAATGACTGACAGGCCAATTTCAGTTTCATTTTCACCGGTGGCGTTTTTGGGCATTTTAACCTCTGAACTGCTCAGGATCAATTTTAACTCTGCAACTCTTCATCATATCAACTTCGACCAATCAGCAACGTTTAAAAGGTCCTAATTGGTTTATTCGTAAACATGGAAATTGTACAACAGTACACTGACCAATAGTTGTGGCAACCACCCCATTTAAACAAAATAATCGTTCATCTTTAATGCCAATCGATTCTGTATCTTCAGAGAAGCCCATAAATTGGTTTATTGACTTGCCCAGATTTCTGTCCGCTTAAGTTAAAACAAACATTTTGTGGGGTCTCATGTGACCTTGATTTGACCCCGATTTTATCTCGTCACTTTCAACTAAATTGAATTGTAGTTTTAGCTTCCGCCATTACCGTGGGGTAGATTCACCTGTGTGTGTGCGTGTGTGTGTGTTAATATTTTATGCAGAGCTCAAGTAGGAGTCAGTTGTCATCCGAACCACCCACGTCTACTCGCTTATTTGAGCTGCAGCTAAATTCTAGCCTCTTGCCATACCTTCCTTTCTATCCACTAATATAAATTAATTTATTTTAATGCATTCGGCGTCCCAAATTGTGGTTTGTATCTTACAAAATGCAACTTGACCTTGAAGTTTGGCCACTAATCAACTCAGTCAAGTGAAATTGTTAAAAATCAATTTTTCTACCGAAGTGGTCAAGCAAATTGATGTTCCCACATCGAACCTCTTTGTAATAACCTATTAGGAACTGCAGCATCTTTGGAATGCTGGATAGGTTTGTTCTAAACCTTCCAGACGCCACATCAAATCACACAAAAATTTCAAACGCATCCTGCTGAGAAACCTTTTTTTTGTAACTAGCTCCAATAAATCACTCGTAAATCAACACAACTGAAGTACATGCAACATCGAAGTCACCTGACAGGCCCACGAATCGCCTTGCCTCGGTAACCATTTGGGGAGATTTTTTGCGCACAAGCCTTAAGGTCACGCTCGACCTTGTCACATGTGACTGCGCGCTCACGTGATACGCAGAGGCTTCACGTTCAAACACCAACCATGCGAATGCATGCGGCACTAGGTCCAAACTACAACAGAATTCCCACGGATATGCAAACATCGCGTGCGTTCGCCACGCCACGTCACAGTTTGATTTCGTATTAAGCAACAATAAAACTGTCTGCATTTTTTAATCGATGGACAAGATCGCTCATCCATGTCGGAAAGTAAAGAACGACTGGAAAATAAACAATCTATTCCTAGCGGTCGAAGCATGAGCAAGACGCACACAGACCCGGCGGGTCAAAAGTGTGTAAGGAGTTGTAGGGAATACTGTGGAAGGAAGGAGGATATCAAAGCAAGAATCTACCAACATGAGTGAGTTTACAGGAGGTAAGTATGATGAAGCAAACGTCGACTAGTTGCGGAAATCTCTCTGCTCCTTCCCAATTAGCATCCATTCACGAAAGCAAAATGGATCGAATATCGAACGGGTGTGGGGGAAGACAGAGAGAGAGAAAGGACAGGTCTTGGGATGGTCGCAGAATCGAGGCCTCAAAAGCTTGTAGATAATTAAGCATGGGATGCTGGCGTCGAGGCAAGCGCTCGATCGATTGCATAAGGCAAGGCACAGGTAAGTTTGGCAATAGCGAAAACTGCAGCAGATTCTTTCAGAATTCGGTCACGCCTCGATCCTCATCGGGCTGAGGCGACTTCCTATTGACGACCTTGGGTTTCGGGCGATTTGGCATCGTGGCGGAGCGTCCGTGATGCGGCGGCGGTGGAGGCGGAGTTGGCTGGACGCCAGGTCTCATTGGTGCTTGGGGCCTGTTTGCGTGGGTTTGCGGCATCGGAGTCATTGGTCCACCGAAGGACGCCGGCCGAACGTATGCAGGCGCAGCCTGACTTGGCTCGATTTTGGTTGGCTGGAGCACCGTCCAATCAGAACGCGAGGACGGCGCCATTTGCTGAGAAGCCGGTCTGGGCGAAGGCATTCTCTGGTAAACCTGTCTTGGCGGCTCCGGCTGCCGGCGATTTCGCATTGTGGGGTAAATTGTGATTGATTTTTGGGGGAATTGAGGGGTTGAGAGCGTGCGTCGGTGAATCGAAGACAGCGGTGCGTACATTTGAGTTGTCTGCTGTACTGGCGCGTAGTAAGTATACCCCGATGCGATCGTCTGTGGATATTGTCTGTTTAGACTTTGGACTACGCGATACACCTAAAATTTGTGCATTTTAACTATGATTTTACTAGTGATAACAGTGCAGCGACTTTAGCCAATCAAAACTCACCTGTGAGTTCGGATTCGCTGATCGGGGACCGTAGAGAGGGTAGGCTGGGTAGACCGGTGATGTCTGGCTCCAGTTCTGCGACACTTGTGCGTGATTAGGCATAGATGTTGACCTGTCGCTGTGATAAAATTCCATGCATGTTTAACTCAATTGAACTTGAAAACAAGCCTTATGTGTACGACTTAATTATTACAGGTTTTATCGTGGTATCCCCTGTGGTTTTGAAAGGATCGGTCGCAAAGCGCATTCGATGGCACTGCATTTTATGGAAGTTCCAACATGCTACTAACCAGTTTAGACGTTTTTACCTCCATCTTAGTGACCAGCCGCACCCCAGACAACCTCGAACATTTTGAAACCGCGGAATCTCAAGCTCTACTGGATGAAGACTTAACGCAAACGCAGCATGACCTTGCGGCTCAGTTAGGAGTCACTCAAACAGCAGTTGCACAACCTAGCTCAACGTAACACCACCTGCCATTCACTGCTTTCCCACCATCAATGAAAAATGATTATTTTGGGAAATTGTGACGGGTGATATCAGGCATATTTTTCACGAGAATCCTAAACGTAGAATCGTTGGTAGACCCCGGGTACCCCAGTACATCGAAGCCGAAATTGAGCTTCGACTTGAAGAAGATTCTCTTGTGAATCGTGTTCATTCACACCCCTTAATACGGTCGCTCCACCTCCAACACAGGGTTCCCCTTTTGGCAGCATGCTGCCAGCCGCGCGGATCCTCAATTCCCCACTCATTCAGACCTAGGTCCCGATGTTAGCGCATGCATAGCTCACACATCTAAGGTATAAGTTCACACGCGCAAACCCCACGCACGACACAACGACACCAACGTGGTTGAGCTCTGAAGTAGATGGTTGTGTCTACGTCCTCTCCGGTCTTTTTCTTCATCGCGGGTATCAGGGAAACGTAATCGGGCAGGGGTTAATTCCGTGGCCCTGGCGTGATTCAAGACCACATGCTGGGGTCCGCAAAAGTTGGTAACCCCGACGTGGGACGAATATCTACCTTCTGGTGTCCGAAACATCGACCTTCGTTGTGCTGACGTTTGGCGACCTATTATCACAATTCTCCGGACGACGCCAAATGTCCGGATGCTGCTAAACTCTGGACGATGCCCTTCGGCCCCCATCACCTGGTGGCGGACACCCATAGTTCTGCGCCAATCCTTCCATTTTTTTGCACAGATCTATCCTTTTTACAACCTGGCCTCATCCATCGAGTCTCCCTTATTCAACATGGACGCATCTCTCGACTTCTGACCAGCATCCAGCAGATGTTTTCGACCGATTCTGTCCCCTGGTTCTCGACTGTCGACTACATCGAAAGATATCAACGATCTGACGATTCGGCATCATGCATGATTTCTCCAACGATCAACCTTAGATATCCAAATGGCAGAAAAAGTTGTATCGGCAACAACGATTCATCCCGAACGACTTATGAAAACGAACAACGATGCCAAGTGTTTTAGTTACCCTCGGCAAACGACAATCCGCCTCATTTCTACATTCACATGGGCCACATTTCGACTGCAGAAACCTACGGCCAACCTTTCAAAATTAGCACTGGACGAATAGGCTAGCTGAATTATCTTGCTAAGGGAGAGAGAATTCTCAGTCCGACCCACATCCCAATCACGCAAAACCTACGGTCTACCTGCCATTCACTGCTTGCTCACCATCAATGAAAAATGATTATTTGGGGAAATTGTGATGGGTGATAACAGACATATTTTTACGAGAATCCTAAACGTAGAATCGTTAGTAGACCCCGGATAACCCAGTACATCTAAGCCGAAACAGCGCTTTCACTTGAAGTAGGTTCTCTTGTGTGTCTAGTGGGACGTTAAGGGTGTACCTTACTGAAACCGGTCGTGGCATATTCACCAGACGTAGCCCCCACCCCCGACTACCACTTGTCCCGGTCATAGGTTATAGGCCATCTTACTTGTTGTACACCCTTACGCGCAAGGGCTGACCATATTGCTGTTGGTTTGACTGCCAGACGTCACGAACCAGCGATGTGGCATCGCGTTCTCGCACACCCGTTGAGTAGCTCATTCTACGAATTGTCCGCGACGTCGGAGACGACTGGGCCTGATATTGTGGTGACGGCGACGACGGGTATTGGTACAGAGCCTGGTACAACTCCGGCTGATCGCCTGCCTGAATGATGGTCGGCGTAGTTGCCTGCGGTTTGTACGCCGGTCTCGACTGACGAGGTGACACGTAGTTCGGCTGTACGTACTGCAGTGAAGATACACCGAATTTCATAACATCCTGGTTTAAATTCCGTAGAAATGACCTTGAGGTGGCCACAGAAACGACCCACTTACCTCGGAGGTGACCGACTTCCTGGTAGACTGCATTTCCAGAGCTCGCGATGACGCAATCGTCTGTGGTCTGAAATCGTAGCTTGAATTGCGTCTTGTTGTCATCGTCGTCGTCTGATTTTGACCTGTCCAATTTTGTCTAGTAGATGACTGTTGAAAATCCGAATTCATTGGACCGTTGTATGGCTGGACATTGCGATTCATCGGACCGCGAGGCACTGCAAACAGAATTTCATGTTTAGTTGTGGATTTGTGGACGTGAAACGCGGTTTTCTATGAAATAATTTAACGAAATTCTCACGTGTGCCGTATTGGGAAATGATCCTCGGTTCGTCAGCCTGGAAGAGTTTTCGTCGTTCCCTAACGGAGAGACGCGAGAAACTGTAGTCCACCTCGTCGTCAGCATTGTTTACCACCTGCGACGATCCCACTTGTTGATTCTGCTCTTGATTCTCTGAGACGCTCTGTCGGAGAACAGAATTCTATTAATTTAAATGCTACTGAACAGATATAAGTAAGCGTGCTGTTAGGGATTTCACAGATTGTTGTCGTTCTCACGGTAATTTACTGTATGGACAAAGTTTAACTAAGGATGCTGTATATAATTATGAAAAAAATGTTATTCCAGTGCGTACGAATGCACACTAACTTGATTTGACCAAACAGCAGTAAGTAGTATCACATGCAAGTGCTGATATGCGGTTAATTTGTGCTTGAGAATAGAGTGTTAGTGAATTACTTGGTAATCTAACGGAAAGCTTCGACGATAGGCCTGGTTTTGGGGAGTATACGGCCTACGGAAGGTCTGCAAAGAATCAAGATATTTGTTTTAATGTGTGTACACAAAGAGGCGCAATTTGCAAGCAGATGATGAATCATTCGTTTGTTAATTAGTGCGATTAAGCAACACTGATTAGTAACTCTACTGCATTCTTTAAAAAATGCATGCCTATATTCGTTAAGTAATGTAATTTCTATTATAATTAATTCTTACTTCCCGGTAAAAATTTAGGGAAATCTTAACATTCTTGTCAGTTTTAAATGTTTTGTATATATCTCGGGCACATAATAGCCGTGTTAAACAAAGATTTTGTGTGTAGTGTGCATGCATGTAGTCAGTGAGCAGTCAGTTTTCCTTTAGGAAAGTTATCTGCTTAAATACAACCCTGAGTGAAGTGATATTAGTTGCACAGTCTTGTTGTCTGAATTAACATACAAAATTATTTGGAACGGCACCGTATCGAAAAAGCTTCCTGCCAAACATTTTTGGCTGTTCAGCCTCCTAAAAATAAGAAGCAGCCATCTTGAACTCCCTTCATTTCTTTCACAGATTGGTTAAACGCAGTTAGGCATTAATACAACGTGATTGGCTCGGAACTTTAGCCAGATTCTTAGTGGCCGTAATTATCGATTTCTTGCCAAAAACGCAACGCTTAAGATCAGTGATAAATCGTGAGCAGGAATCATTTTAACTTCACGGCTGCACACCTTGCCCACGGTCAATAAGGCAATGATTTTATCGATCCTAAAATCCAATATGGTCGAGGAGACTGTGAACATTCGAAAAATCATGTCTGATTACATTTGTCTCTGATCTTATAAAAACCATATAGGGAGGGTTACATAGTTAACAAATCAAAGTAAGAACGCTATACAAATACTAAATGATTCTTCCGATCGGGAATATGTAAGAAATTCTGGAATTAATATCTGGCACCTTTACCAAATAGTTAAAACCATAAAACGTACGTTGGAGAGAGCTGCCAAAGCACCAGCTCCTAGCGGTTTATTCGGACAAGTCAATCGTTTAAAATGGCTTACCACGAGGAATGTTCTCGACCAATAAGAGACCGGAAAATGGATCAACTTATCGAGGGAGATACGTTTAAGTAACATAAGATGTAAATACCACTATTGTACTTTGCCCCACACAAACTGGATTTTGATAAGAGACAGAAAATAAAATAAAACGTACACGAATTTTATTAGGCTAAGCAATTTTAAAGACAAAATTTCATTGGCTCTATCATCACGTTATCAGGGTAATGCGCCAATAAGAAGGAAGCGCCGTGAGTCAGTTTTGTGTGGAATGACATGGCATGACTGTTGGTACAAATCAGACAACTTTACTCTCAAAATCTCAAATAGAAAAACATTTCGCACAAATAGAAGTGTTTTGATCACCGATTTAAACAAATCTCATGCTGATAAAAAAAGACAATTTAGTGGACAGTAAGTATCACGTTATCCCTACCGGAAATAAGGTTTAATGATCCATCAAAACGACCACTTAAGGACACACCCAATCATTTGTAGATGTGCTGAGGTCAAGTACCTAATCTGCACCGGTGACATTTTCAGATTAAAAAAGAAGTTTAAACTGCACATGTCAAATTTAAGCCGAGTTATACCTATGTAAAGGCATAGCCATTCAGGTGGTCTAAGGTCAATAGCTTTTTCGAAATTGAATTACTTGTGTTTCACGGATTTTTGCACATCAAACCAACTTCCGTCCGATTGGCTGCTTCCCGGCGGCCATATTGCCATGGAATTGAGTAGTTAGATGCTCAACTTTGAATGTGTGCAGAGCGTAAATTGTTCAAAGTTAAAAAAAAACAGACTTGGCGGTGAATTGATAAAGCCTTCATCTACACATTTTTGTTAACTAGACCAGAACTATCCATCATTGAATAAGGACAGCTAGAAATGGTTTATATTGAAAAACACGGCAAAATTTAAACAAAATTACTCACCTTTTGATAATATGAGTTGTACATTTTCGATTTAGGTCGTGGTAAAGGATGGCCTTAAAAAGTTAAAACAAAAAAACAAGCCGTTAGACAACAAATCGTTTATTTATTTAGTAATTTATCGTCCAGTTAAGGCATTTGCCCTCGGACGACTTTGTAATTTATCATGCAAACGGTTCTGTTTGGGATTCCAAGCAAGTAAATTGACCTATAGGAATTGCGCAAACTATGCCTGAGTTGATTTATGATCGAAATTGCTTACCCACACCTAAAAATCACCAAAAGTATTCCAGAATGTGCAAGCACTTAGTAGTTTTCTTTTAAAAGTACAAATTTCAAGTTCCTTGAAATTAATTTGCGTCAGTTGTGGCAAACATTTGATAAGGCGTCTAAGTTTACCGTGAATTGTAGATTTTTCCACAATTATTATATCTCAGGTGCTCGTGAGTGGTGATTGGTTCCGGCCTTGGGTTTTTGCGATTTTGATTGGCTATCAGAGATTTTATAAACTATTTGCTCACTGAAAAATAGTGATTATGTTTACATAATTATCATGCGAGATTAATCATTCAGGTTACTAAAACTGATTTATGTTATAAAAGACCACATTTCGCAAATCAATAGTTATCTTGTTGAAGAAGATTAAACTAGGGAAAAAAATTTGAAACACAAAATTGATAATATTATTAAAAGTACTAAATTCATTTTAAACTGGTTTAATTATTGATAAATCCAAATCAGCACAAATGGGTTTCGCCGACTTTATTAAAAAAGACACGAAAAATACTACTTTTTGACAACTTTCAGGGATTTAAATTTAACTAAAATTCGTCCCTTTAGAAATAATTCTGCTCTCAGAAAAATCATCAAGAACCAAAAAATTGAAATTACTGTCCTTATTATGTATTAACTATTAGCGTAAATTTTAAAATACATACTAAATGGACGATTAAAATATTTTGTAAAAAATAATCAGCCTTCATTTTGAAAATTTAGTGCCGTTGAAACATTGCAACTTTGGATGCTATGGCCAGATCGGAAAATCTTATTGGTTGAAAATTTAAATTAGTAATGCGAGCGTCACTTGAATCCTGAGGCATACCACTAAATATTTAAAGTAGAGAAATCTGTGGATCATTTATTTCTAATTCACATATAATTAAAACAAGTGAACATGTGAAATAGAGGCTTGGGAAGGTGCAGCGAGACACCTAAGTGCGTGCGGTCTGGTGACATTTTTAACCATTTCGAGATTTCACCTTAGAATTTCCGAAAGATTTCAAATATCCAGCGTCGAAATGGCTGTCACATCAGCGTCGCCGACGGAATGTGTCCACAGATCGCCCGAAATGGCCAAACTAGAAACGCACCGTTGCTGTAGCCGCCGAGGTTGCCTTGGATGCAGTGCAGGGAAGCGCACAAACACGCAACACAATCGCCCAACTTCAGGGCAAAGTTTCCCCTCGTATTGCCCTCCCCTGAAACGTGCGTGCACGTGTGCGTGTCTCCAACGCTGACCAATCAGCGTTTAGGCTTGGCGGCACGCGCGCAGTTCGAGGGTGTAAGGTGAGGTGCGTCGCATTGATTTGGGGCTATTTTGGGCTCGCAGTCCACACCCACACGATGCTGCTGGTCGCAGACGTGAACCTCAAGAGGGGGACCCATGTGACGTGGAATTCCTTCACCTCAAGAACCTTCTGAAGTTTGCTTTACCTCATTTTTCATTGATAAAATAATTAGACGATGAACTGCGGGTACCTTGACAACTGTTTTGAAGCTATAGTTGTCTCATTAGCGAGAGAGTTCAAGAATTTGGATAACCGACAACTTCGACCTTGATAATGGTACAAAAATTATGTTATGAATAAAAGTGCCCAATCAGGTTGCAGAGCTCAAACAATCAAGAATTTTGATTGGTTCATCATGCTAGTTTTACTCCAATCAGCGCTCTGCTATAACCTAAAATAATCGGATTTTTGGAAAGAACACCCAGCTATTTTTAATTAGATTCTTTCTCTGCAATGCGAGACTTGTTCTAAACGGTGTCTAAAAAGATTTGCGCAAATCTTGTGAATAGCAATGTAGATTTAATTGCTAAAAGATAGCAATGTAGCCTCGTCAATTTTGCACCAATGTAACACGTGCTCTGACATTCCATTGATCTCCGGTTGTTTTAATTAATGACAACATTTTCAAAATGCAACAGAACATTGAATTAGAATTTTCGATCATTTCTGAATATGGGCAAATGGTACAGGTATTTCCTAAAACTGTTGCAGAATACAGCGTCGAATTGCGGCAGCCATTTTACCATAACTCCTAGCAAAATTTTACTAGCTAGCATTTTAAATATCGACGTGGGCACAGTACGTATTTATTACTTAAAAGAAAATTCGACTATTTAACAGCTGGATCGTGAACAGATGTTGGCTCGGACAATTGCAGCTGCCGCAAATACACCCGCATAACACAGAGGCGCACCTTTTTTCTCCATATTCGCCCCTCACTGTTCTACTGGGCTGACTCGCTAGCAGCGCGCCAGTTTGAATACGTGTTCCGTTAAACAAACACGATCTGATCTAAAATGAAAATCCTCAAATGTAGGTATTAGTATTGGAATGGTTCAGATGAACGCAGAAATTGCATCACATTTGGTGTCGGTTAAATTTCTGTCTAGACGCGTCTCTTGAAAACGCTGCAGACAAAAATCGTGTTTGAACCTGGCAATAAATCTAAGAAATTCCACAGTTAACCTACAAAAGGTTCACCTTGAAGTTAATTGCTGCATAGTTTAGTCTATTGTTTGAAACATACGTCACTGCTGCTTTGATTTAATCCAAGTTGCATGGAGGCAAAATATCAAAAGGAATTAAACGGAACCCGTGTTTAAGTCCAATGGTCTGATGCATCTCATGCAACGCTTGAATGTCAATGCAAAGCATGGCATTTATTAAGCTGGATATATATCAGTGTCAAACACATTAAGTCAATTTCATGCCGCGACATTTTGAATTGGATTGTGGAGGTCATTCCATGGTCGCCTTCTGCCCAATTGAGGGCGCTGATTGGTTGGAAAATCAGTAGTTATCATTCGGGGACAAAACACACAGTTGTGGGCCAGTAGGTTATTTCGAACACCTTCATGCGGACATATTGCATGTTTTCGATGAATTAAATTCACTAACAGCCTGAAATCGAGGAGGTATTGGTCACTGTAAAGCAGGACCTTTGATCCTAGATCATCATTTGACGGGAACTTGTGCGGAGTATCGGTGTGATCATGCACTTGATAACTGACCTACGGCATTGCATACAGAGGCCTGAATTTGGCCTGTTATACGAGATCTGGAGTAAACCTTTGTGTTTTGATATCGATCGTAGACAAGGACAAGGCAACTGCGGAAGAATCTAGAAGCGTAGTGAGGAAATAAGCGGCGATTTACGCTATCGTAATTCGACCAAATAGTTAAACTAGACGTCCGAGATAGCACCCTAACAGTACTGAATGTTTTTAGTACGCAATTTCTAGGGTCCTGATTGGTCAGGCGAATAGAGCGAGTTGTTCAAGTTTGCCGCGATGCGATTGACCAATCAATCTCAAGACCCGCGGTTGTGTAAAATGTTGTTTTGTAGTGAGGAGACAAACGGCGATTCACGCTATCCTACTATGACAAAATCGTTCAAGTAGACGTCTGAGATAAAAGCCCTAACAGCACTGTTTTTATTACAGAGCTACTCAACCATCGTGGACGCAATTTCTAGTCTTGATTGGTCAGGCGAAAAGAACGAACTGTTCAAGTTTGCCACGAGGCGATTGACCAATCAATCTCAAGACCTGCGTATAGGCGTGGTTGTGTAAAATTTTGGTTTGTAGTGAGGAGACAAAAGGCGATTTACGCTATCCTAATATGACAAAATCATTAAATTAGACGTCTCAGATAAGTTCCCTAACAGCACTGAATTTTTTTTTATTACAGGCCTACTCTACTATCGTGGACGCAAGTTCTAGGGTCCTGATTGGTCAGGCGAAAAGAACGAGCTGTTCAAGTTTGCCGCGAAGCGATTGACCAATCGATCTCAAGACTTGCGTTCAGGCGCGGTTGTGTAAAATGTTGGTCTGCCTAGCAAAGCATTCTAGGTATTCTACCACACACCGATTTCTTTCGATTGCAAAGACTACAAGGGGCACCACCACTTTGATGTGCCTGACTGCCAACGCCAGGTGCAAACGCAAAAAAGACTGGCTTGTATCAACAGTCGCGTAGTATTTATATCAACACGGTTACTCGTGTTGTGCATAGCATTGGCACCAACAGTGGGCGAATTCCATTGTCCTAGGTATGCACAAGCAGCCAATCAAATGACAAGATTTATAAAATTAATTTCCCCAGACCACCTGCAGCCATTCCCACCAATAGTGAAAAGGGAAGAGACACGGAGAAGTACATTTGTACAGAGTTTGTTTAATCGAAAATGCAAAATCACTTGGCGCAGGCCTTCCGGCTACGCGACTTGTGCTTCGACACCCTGAATCCGACGCGGTGGGAATCCTCGTCCCTCTTGTCGCTTTCGCGTTTGTCGTAGGCGCGCTTGAAGCCGCCACGCACCGCCTTCCGCTGGCGCCTGCCTCTGTCGGACATGCGTTTGGACGCGAGGATGGCCTCGGCTTCGGCGTTGGAGACGCCCTCCTGCACGGACGTCGTCGCCAGAACCTCGGCAATCTGGGCCTTCTTGGCTGCGGGAGCCTCGCTGCCCCAACCGGTGCGTTTGGTGCCCGTCGGTATCGCAATCTCGTCTGTTGAGGGGGTCTTCAGATCGTCGACGGTCACGAACGCTTGTCGCGGTTGTCCGCGACCACGTTTCCGTCGAAAATCGTCCACTGTCTTAAAGAAAAATGACAGATTAGGCTAGCTACGCTCGCGAATTCGCTTCTATTCTGCAGAGAAGCAAGGCGATTTTGAGAGCAGCCGTCTTAATACGGGTTAAAGAATGGGTTTTGAGGTAATGTGCAGAATTGAGAGGAAGGAGGAAAGGACATACCATGCCCTCAACAAAAGGGGAATTTATATGCCCTCGCACTAGCATGAAGACTTTCATTGACATTTTCTCTACTAACACACGTGCAATAACTGCTATGGTGGAGATTTCTCAATTGAAAAAGCCATTCTGAAGAGGTGGCCACTAAATCTCCAGGCAGTAACAAAGCTTGTTAAATCCCACCACCAAGCACCAATCGTATCTTACTAAATCAATTCAACAGTGGAATAACCAATGAGGTTTCAAGGACTCAAATCACCTGTTCAACAACCAATGAGACACGAGAACGTGAAACATCTGGACGGCACAATTGCCAGCAGCCGGTGGCAACAGGTAGCAATTGAGCGCAAGCAGCCGAGAAAGACAAACCATGTCCTCGAATAACGTCTTGCCGCCAGGGTAGCGAAGTTATGAGCACAGTAAAAGTGCAATTTTGAAAGAGCAGGCATTGACGGTGGTGCATAAACTGCTTACTGATAGGACAAGATCAAGTTAGGAACCATATGAAGAATTCGTAGTTGAAATAATTAGCAAAATTGGGGACAGCTAGAAAAACTCTCAACCCACCAATCGAGTTACTCGGTAGGCAATCAAAAGAAGCCCGCCCAAATAGAATTTAAAAATTAAATAATACGCCAGTAAACGGCTTTCGACGAAACCGAATGACATGTCCTTTATTTTACGCGAAAAATAAAAAAAAATAAATTCACTTGCATATATCCCTGTCTTCCGGACCGTGCAATAACTGCTACGATTTCACCAAATTAAACTTATAAATCCCGCCACGAAACACCAATGATATCCAAAGGACTCAAATCAGCTGTGCGGCAACCAATGAGGTTTCAACAACTCGAAACAGCTGTTTGACAACCAATAAGAGCCCGAGGACGCCAAAAAATTGAACGGCAGTCAATCCAAGTATCGGAATTTAATTAAATTTCAAATAACCTCAAGTGGTAGTAGAAATTGGCAAAACGTAGCTTAGAAAGCACTCTTAGTGAGAATGTACCTGAAAAGACGCGCCTTAAGAGAACGTTTGTTTTTTTTAAGATAAGAACGTAATCGGCCGAAGATAAGCGCGCTAGGGGGTAGGAGCAAAAGATATAAAGTTGACAAAGAATTGTGAAAGTTAGCTGCAATGAAAAGTCGCTCTCAGGCTGGTTCCAAGGAAAACGTCTTAGAGTTAAGCCCATGTGAGAAGCACAACAATGAGTTAATAAGGATGTCGGAAATACTGCCAGACACAAAGAAATAAGGGCGACAGGCAGGAATAGCTAATGCCCCGACTCCGTACTACGACGCACCCACTATTTTACACAACAGAAGAGGGATGCAGCCCGGGCTGTTTGGTGTGATTCGCCCGCGCTAACGACAACAAACCCGGGGCACATGACCCGAGTCTGGAAAGTCCACGTAAACGAGACAGAGGCAAAAACAGATTAGACGAGAGAACGAAAGTTAACACGCTGTAAACTACCACCCTGGCCGTCACCCATCAATGGATAGAGGCTTTATGGCCTAAATTGAGTAGAATGTAAAACAACCACCGAGGTTTCGAGGAAAGCCACAGCCTACCGACAACTGATTCTCAGGTTTTTTTTCGGTTTGGGCTCAAAATACCAAATCCGTACCACCAATATTAATGAAACCAGAGACACCATCAACTAGCATGGTCTGTCCAGGGTAATCGACTAAGGATCAATATGCCGAACGAGTCAATCCCAATCGATTGATTTTCCCTGGAACCAGTGGCAGGTCGATTACAAGGTCGTTTCGATTTGGGCCGAGGCATCTGACA